GTATATGTAGGTATTCATACATATTATATATATGCATATATAATATTTTTTTCCCTGGCATCAAAGTTACTGACTGATTCCCAAGCAAAATAGATTTACAAAGTTTTGAGAGACCTTATTTGTTTAACAAAAAGGGAAAATTGGTAAGGGGATGAGGTATGACAGTAAATTGGAATTAAACATCAAATGCTATAAAATGAGTTCACAAGAAAACAAGGCAAATGTCTACAAATTTTGGACATTGGCAATATCTAGCAAGGAAATATAACAATTAATGTTACATAAAATACTGTGGATGTCCTTTATTAACTTATAAATCCAATATTAATTGCACACTAAACAGTATAAACAAACAGCAAAATTTATTTTGTAATAACATGTAAGAAACGAGATTTTTGAAGTTACTTATTGCACCCATATTATTCACGGAAGCTTCAACTCCAATTTTACTTAATTTTAATTTATCTTTTTGAGACAGAGTTTTGCTCTGACACCCAGACTGGAGTGCAGTGGCATGATCTCGGCTCACTGCAACCTCTACCTCCCAGGTTCAAGTGATCATCCTGTCTCAGCCTCCCAAAGTGCTGGGATTACAGGTGTGAGCCACTGTGTCTGGCCATTCAACCCCAATTTTAAAATGCATGACAGTGATCTTGAAACTTTAATTCCTATAGAAAGTACATATAGATATTGTTGAAATGCAGATTCTGATTCATCTGGTAAGGCCTGAGAGTCTGCATTTCTAGCGAGCTTCATGCTGCTGCTGCTGGTCCATGCACCACACTTTGGATAGTAAGAATCTGGACTGTCTAAGGAAAAGCAAGCTGGATTTCTTGAAAGTTGCTGGCATTGGGCGGATAGTTACAAGTCTGTTTTTCTCTCTAATGAGTACATGGAGAATAACAGATCTTTCTGAAACTCAAATATTCAACTACTTACCCCTTCTGTCCAGGAGGTTTGAAACAAGCAGGAGCAGAAATGAGTGAGTGTGTGCATGTGTGCCTGTGTTTGTGTGTGTGTACTCGGGTATACAGTAGTGCCTCCATACTTGCATTAAGGTAAGTGTGTCAGCAACTCTCCTGTGACTGTCCTCAATTTAGACTTGCATTCATCTAAGCATGCAAAGTTCAGAGAATTGTCAGGTCCAATATACCCTATCTCTGAGGTTAAGCCCTAGCTTATTTCACACATTTCAACATTTTCCATGTGGATGCTGTTAAGGTTGCCTGGAATTTGGAGATAAGCCCAGGATTAGTCCTGCTTTAAAGTCACCATGAAGCCTTGTTATAGGCCTCAAGTTAAGTTGTTAAATGTATTTCTCAGAGCTTACTGGAAAAAAAAAAAAAATAGCCACACTCACTAACTTTGGTAAGCTTCAGATAGCAAAACACAGCGGTGGTTGTTGAAAACTTACCTACAGGCCTTCACCTTCATGTTTTTATAGATGGTGGACTTATGTTCTGAGGCTAAAATGACATTCTGTTACCAAGCTTGCTTTAAGAAAAATGTCTAAACTGAGAACTGCGAGATAGAATATTCACTTTTTTTAAAAGCATTTTGAGAACTAGGTCAATCTTATTTAAGCAGATTTTTCTAAATCACTTGGTAATAGTTTAGAATTATTCTGTAATTATCTAATAATTTGGTATTTTACTTTATTGATATGAACACCACTATTATAGAATTTAACAATTACTATATACTTATGCTTGTTGTAAATATGAATTCCAAGTAATTAGCAAGTGACTCATGCTAATGACATGTCTAAAATATTGGCTTTCCTATATTTTTGGTCATGTATAGCTATTCTATTGATCTGGAAGATATAAAATATAAGGCAGTAATATTTGATTAAGTCTTGTTAAAGTTTAGTGCTTTTGGCCAAGGATCTTGTAGAGTATCTGAAAAAATTAATAGTGCAAAGGTGGCAAATACTGAACAGAAATGAAATTGAGATGTATTTCTAAAAATAAATTTAAAGTGTAAAACAAAAAAAAATTAACTTCCTTAAGGAATCCAACAGAATTCCTATAATTTCCCGTATTTTGAAATTCATCTATCCTACTTAATCTGACTTTTAAAGAGTGGGTGAAAAGAACTCTACACATTATAGGGTTATAGTTTTGGGGAATTTTCTAAGAAAAGTATAAGTTAATTATAGCTTTTAACAGCACAGCTACAGATGTATCAGATAAAAAGGAGCAGAAAAAGTTTTTCTCTCTTAGAGGCCCTGTAAACAAGTGATGCCTTGGGGTATCTTCCTTTTCTTGTAGTAGTAAAAACAATCTTGAAAAGGATTCTGCTAAACACTCTTCTAAGGCCATGCATTTAATTTAGATAAATAACATCATCTCATTATTGATTAAATTCTCAGAATTTTATATTACTTCAATGCTTGTAGTAGCTTATTGGCCATATTGGAGATGTTTTAAATGTCAAAGCAGTCCTAATTTCTCCAAATATAAATTAGCATGATACTCTTTAAATGGCCGCTAAATGAATTCTTCTGTTGATTCTGGCGATAGATAAATACATCGATAAATGGGTAGATAGATAGAGAGATAGATTATTGTGGATCATATTTGATTAAATTAAGAGAGTCTCTTCTCCAAAAAGTATAGACTATTTATACTACACCGGTAGGAGAGTATATGGTGAGAAGAAATCAATAGTTGAGAGCAATCACTCTCTCATGAGCATGCGATTCACTCAAACATCCACGGCAGCCCTCCATCATAACCTCTCCATGAAGAATCACTATCTTTCTCATTTTGATAAACACAGACACTCAGAGAAAGTTAATTTACCAAATGTCATACAGTTAATGGTGTTGGGATTCTGACCTGTGTTCATTACATTAATTCTTTATATTTCTCATAATTCAGAAAGCAGGAGTGATGCTTCTAAGTCCATTCAATTGCTAATATACATCAACCAATACTCTCAGATGAGATTTTCATAATCTAAAGCAAAAACTTGGAAAAAGAGTCTTTCCTATTTTACATAATTTTAAAATTATGATGTATTATAAAATACTATAGAAGCATTTTATCACCTATTTCTTTCAAAATTTACTTTTACATTTGATTATAAAATTATACTTTCAACTTGATTGCTCGTAAGAGTAGAATATCTCAATGAAAGTTTTACCTAAGCATTAAAGTAATGATTATCCCTTAGAAATGCCCATTAGGAAATTCAAAAGTCACCATTAATGTTCCTAAATTAACCATTTTCTGTTACCCCCTTCACTAATTACATTGACAGTCTACTTTCTTCCCAACTAACATGACATACAGAAACATAGTCCACCAAAGCTGCTACTGTACCAAAGGTGACGGTGATTTGGAACCAAGAAAATGTAGGTGCCAGGATTTTCAACCTTTTCAAAGACTTTCAACTGAAAAACATCTCTGAGAAATATTTAACAAGACATGTAATTTCCTGCTACCAAGTATTTCTCACTCTATTACCCCCCAGGTCAAAATTCTACTGTAATAAATAGTTTACCAAGATAATCAAAAGTTACACTGGCCTATTTCTCCTAGTACCAGTCAATCACAAAGACCATTCACTTGGCAATCTGCAGCCTCAGATCTTTATCCCCTTTTTCACTTTTTGAAATCAATGCTTTATTAACACATTAAGAAGCAATCTTTAGCCTAAGGTAATAATGACTGCTGTGAAATAGTAACCTCAATTAGAATAAAAAAGTGAATATACCATTTACATTGTTTTTCAAATCTCGGAAAATTTCAGTTTTAGACAGTGACTTTTATTAGGAAATATTAAATGCATGCCTACCTGTGTAACACGAGACAAAAACCTCTTTAAAATCAAACCTAAATGACCAGGTTGATAGTTTAAGGATTGAGATGGAGTCTCACTCTGTCACCCGGGCTGGAGTGCAGTGGTGGGATCTCAGCTCACTGCAACCTCCGCCATATTAACAGTGTAGTGTCAAACAACCTCATTTCTATCACCTAAGTCCCAGTATCTACTGATACTAGGCAACCTCTGGATCAGTATTTAAAAGGAGTGTATAAAGACCAGTATTTTAACTGACTACCTCTGTCAAAGAAACTTCACAATTAGCACATCAAGCAGTCTTTTGCAGAATTTTTGAACACTATGAATAAAAGATGTTTTTGTGACAAATAACATTTCCAAAACTTCAAATTAACATGAATTAAAACTTCCAAAACTTAATTAACCCATGTGATCTCAAGCTGTATTCTCTTTTGAGGCATAAGAATAATATTCAATCAAAATAGTTTACTGTCATTCTTTCTAACAGATATACAGTTAAGTGTAGCTCCTTCATGCAAGAAAATATAAGGTAAATTATAAAATGTACTTTATAGTATATTTATACAATAGAAAGTAAATTACAAAATTATAAAATTTTTATAAGGTAAATATAAAATTATAAAAGTATTAAAACTTATGTTAAATTTTGTAATATACTATTACACTAGATTGTTTCTGTTATTGTTCAGATAGATAAAATAGCTAGAATTACCAAGTAAAAATATGCACCTGTGTACCTTATAATTTCTAATATTTATGAAGTAACACAAGCACAGCCTGGAGTATGTGTCATACTGGTAAATTATAGAGTAGATACTTTTCAGAAACAGGAACAGATTTTATAGTTCTAACTCAAATATTTTACCATTCACATGTACTTACAATAATATATTTTGCAGTGTTGGTCCTGAAGCTGAAAGTAGAATTTGAGGCATTTTGCCAACACCTGTCTAATTTGCAACAGAGATTATAATGCAAATTTCTTATAGATTACCAAATGAAACCGATAGCTTCTCATTAAGTTTCTTTTGCATTTGGTCAATATTTTACGAAATCACAACATAGATAAAACTTCATAATCGCCTTTCAGATGGAATCAGAAAGAAGCTCCCATTAACTTTTTAAAAAAGTCCTTAATGATTATGTGAATGGTAGCAGAATCAGATAAAATGTTATCAACTGTATCTTACCTCTCTCACTGAAGTCATCTACTAGAATGATTTCTGCTATCAGACTCTCTGGGGTTCGGTTAATTATACTGTGTATGGTCCGCAGGAGTGAAGTCCAACCTTCATTATGAAATGGGATAATGATGCTGGTGTTTGGCAGCCTTTCCAGATACATCTTGTGCTTACAGCTGGAGATGAGGGAAAAAAAAAATGGTGTATCAAATGCAAAACCCTTGTATATCTTATTCTGTTGTTTATTCATTATGTTATCAGACAACTGTGGAAACACGACTTGGTCTAATACTTTCCAACCAGAGTTTGTACAGCATGATTGTTATTCTGCTCCGTCATGGAATGTATTAATGATCTCCTTTCACACTCACTCTTAATGAAACAACTGTTTTATCCTCTTTGGTATCAGGGTTTCAAATTCGTCAGTTTGTTGAAATGTTGTGCTCTTGTTGATGTACATTTTTCCTGTTGTTATATAATAGAAATAAGGATGAATAATATGCTTTAAAACTGTTTCCATGGAGCACATAATTAAGATTTAGATGGATTTCCTGAAGAGATCTAAAAATTTAACTTCTGTAATATTTATGTTTAATTAGTCAGTTTTAGTCATGGAGTGTTTCAATGGCTGGACAGTATTTAAAGCCTGAAGGGAAAAACAACCATAGTCTCTAAACAGAATAAATTAAAATCTAATGTAAAATAACTGTTAACTGAGCACAACCACATAATAAGATTAAATTAAGATCCAAATCAAGATGTTATCACATTCCTAGTGAAAACTCTAAAAAGAAACCTCAGATTCATTTTTTTTCATTGTTGGAACCATCTGAGAAGATGAAAAAGAAGTATTTTAAAAATTGTATTCCTTTATTCATTATTTAACCTAATAATTTATTATTTTTAACAATATTCATTAAACAAGTAAATTTTGACATTTTCAGACAATGAAAAGTGTTTGAAAACCCATCAAAATTATAACATGATATGGGCACAAAAATGCTGTAAAAACATGAAATTCATTTTAGGATAACTTAAATGTCAAAAAATATATATAAATATAAAAAAGATCTGTCAGTAATTTCCATGGGAGTACAGTAAGATAGATGTTTTTGCTTATAATGCACAGATCTGGAAAATAGTGTTTCTGAAGTTCAGCATACCTGGTCATAACTATGTGGAGCCATTGATTCTTCTGAACAAGGTCAAAGAGCCCAACTAATTGTGCTTTGATATATCAATATTCATAATGTTGCACCTACTTGTGAGAACCATCACACCTCACAATGTCCTTAGAATGAGGGTGATATTCCCAATGAAGCCATTTGTTTTTTAAACATCAGGGCAAGCTATTGTACATATCACTTGCCTATTAATTAAAGAGGACTTGCATTCAGAGTAATATCGTATAAACCATCAACAGGGGCCAGGCACAGTGGCTCATGGATGTAATCCCAGCACTTTGGGAGGCCAAGGCAGGAGGATCACTTGAGTCCTGGAGCTCAAGACTAGCCTGGGCAACATAGCAAAACCCCATCTCTACCAAAAGTAAATATTAGCCAGGTATGGTGGCACACACCTGTCATCCCAGCTACTCGGCTGGCTGAGGCAAAATAATTGCTTGAACCCAGTAGGCAAAGGTTGCAGTGAGATGAGATCGCACCACTGCACAGTCCAGCCTGGGTGACAGAGTGAGACTGTCTCAAAAAAAAAAAAAAAAAAAAAAAAAAGGAAAAAAGAAAAAAATCAATAGGCTCATGACTTTTCAGAGTCATATACAATCCAATCAGAGAAAGGGTAGACAAGAAAGAATGCAAGACCAATCATGTGTGACAAAGGCTTTCTCTTTCAAAATGTTTTCGATAATTTATATCTGCCTAAGCTCAAATTACTATCAAATTACTCTCACACACAAAATATAAAAGGATCCATTCTATTCATTCATTCATTCATTCATTCATTCATTCATGTCACAATAATTTACTGAAGATTTGATATAGGTCAGGCTCCAAAGTTGAGGTAAAACAATGAACGAAATCTAGTTCTTAACCTCAAGACATTTATATTATAATGAGAGATACAGAAAGATAAATAGTTACAATTTTAAAATGAAATGGATAGTGTAGAAGTTTAATAGAGTGCTATAAGATTATTTGAGAGAGGCCCATAAGCCAATTTGGAAAATGTAGAAATTCAAGTGAGAACTGAAGGTGGCCTGCAGAGGACAGGTTCAAAGTGTACATAGGAAGATAATTCACACAACTTGGTAACTAGGAGATGTGATTAAAGAGGAGTCTTACATTTTGGACATGGACAACTGATCCGATAAAATACAGAATGACAGAGGAGCCTGTGTGAGGGACGCACTGAAGGTTTCAAAGATTGAGAGCAACGATAATGAATTCAATTTTGACCATGTATTGTTGAGATGTCAAAATGACATCCAGTTGCAACGCAGCTTTCATATATCATATACACACCTATCTGTCAATTTAGATGTCTATCTATCTATATATATGTGGGTGCATAGCTCAAGGTAAAAATCTATTTTGCTGGGGGAAGAGGCTCATGAGAGATAAGCTCTAGTAGATGATGCTGGTGCATCAATGCCTCCTTAGCACTCACCATTCCAGTATAAGCCAAGAGGGTCCTATTATACATCTCTGCAGATAGCAAAGTGAGTACTTTGTCTCATCTCTGCACAAAGGGCAGATCAGAAGTTCTGGGAGAAATTAATTCCCCTAGAGCAAGTATCAACCAACGAATAATGGAAGTTAGAGAATAAATAGTCACATGGTGGGATAACCCTGAGGTGTGTTCTATATTTTCTCCCATAGTTTCCCAGCAAGATTATACCACAGTTGCCCATAGTGATCAGCAGTTTGACAAGGCATCTTTTACTGGTTACTTTCCCTTTTCTGTCTTCCTTTTTCACATTGCCCGCACCGCACCACTCTACATTCTGTGATTACTTCCTAAACACTATTATAGTCAAATTTTTGTTTCAGGGTCTGCTTCCAGAGGAACCCAAACTTAGACATAGGCAAATAAGTTATACCTCACTTGGTGGGAACAGTCTCTTGAATCAACGTCCTGGTCAAGATTCACATTAATCAATGTGCTGGTCAAATAGGCAACACTCTTATTTTTGTTGAGTTGGGAAGGTTGCAGTTTGTTATACTTGGAGATAATTTTAAATAAGTTTTTAAAAAACAGTGATCACACATGCATTTCATCACTTCTTTCAGCTTTTGAATTATTACTGGTGCTCTGCTCAGAGACGTCTCTAGGCCTATGAAACACAACTATGAAGACTTTACAGTGGATACATAAAAATGGTCTCATCCTCATTAGTTGATTATTAGTAGTAACGTTGCCTTTTTATATTGACATCTGTAACTTATTTTTCAATTAGACTACATTATAAACTCCTTACTATTTCATGCCTGATGATTATGTATCAAATATTGAAAAGTCACATCACACTTTATGATCAGACTATCGAGGTTCAAATGATAGCTTTGCCACTTACTGTCTGTGTGACAATGGGCAAGTTATTTACCCTCTGTAAGATTAACTTTCCCACACAGGATAATGTGGGAGCAAGAAAAAAAAAATACCTTTGCATAATGTGCTAATGAGAATTAAATTGGGTCATCTATGTAATGTACTTCATATAGCATCATAGCTAATAATAGCAAGAGTTTAATAAATACTGACATTATTACGGTCATTGTTGTTTAAATTATATTATTTCATTGTCAAATCCTCTGTGGAAGAAGATGTGGAACTAGTAAAGACAGGAACTGCAGAAGAGACAGTGAGAGACATTTAGGATACAAAGATGAATACATTTCAGTCTCTTCCCTTAAGGGTTCACAGACCAGTGAGCAGATATATAAAATGATTAGACTCAAAGAAGACAAGTGACATCATAGATGGCACATAGACATTGAGAGCCTGAAGGAAGTGTGACTAACTTTGTCTGATAGAATTAAGGAAATCTTTATCAATGAGTCTGTATGTTGAGAACAGATCATGAAAAATCTTGAAAACGATTCTAGGGAATTTGGATGTTAGCCTGCAGTCAACATGAAGTACTTCAAATATTGTTAATCGCACGGAAGACTGGATCGTGTTTACATATTCCTTTGGCAGCAGGGCAGACAATGTGTTGCAAATGGCAGAGACTAGAAGCGGAAAGATTAGCCCTTGTAATAATTCTAGCAAAAAATAATGAGGGTGCAGATCTGATTTTCACTCGAAGGAAAGCCAGCTCCTTTGTAAAAGCACTTAATCTGATTGAATTATATTTGGTCATTCTAGCACTTAAGCTGCTCCAAAGAAAAACTGAATCACTGCCAACCTCAGGCATTGGATTCAAGAAGTTGTGATCCAGATGACTACCCCATAGTATTACTAGAAATAGTGAAGCACATCCAGGGCTTTATTAAGGCTCTGCGCCTGCATATTTTAGGTTTCATGTCAAGTCAGGTTGAGAATAAAAGTTTGCAAATATGAAGATGATGTACCAATATGGAACTCAGTTTAATAAATAAGTAAAATAAAGTCAAACACAATTTATATGCTTTTTATGGTTACAAATGTGTATAAATTCACAAATAGAAGAAGAAAATAGGGACAAATGAAAACATGTGTTGAAATAGGTTTCTAGGAATATGGGTGTAATTATTGCATTTCATATTGCTGTATTATTTTCAGATAAGCATTTGCATAAAATTACCTTGCAGTTTAGGAATAGCTCAGAGGTAAGGACATCTGTTTGTTGAGTTGCAGTTTATATAGATGGATAAAAACTAATCCTTCAAATTTTAAAAGCACCAGGAAGACAAAAGATATAGTTTGAGTTATTTAAAAATTTACTTGAGAGAAATGACAAGTTGTGAAGGCATTTAAAAATCTGAAAAACAACCCTAAATTATTTTGTAAACATTCTGCTAGACCTTTCAAAGTAATGAAACCTCAATGGCAAATTTTCTCATATTCTTCTGTTTTTCCAAAACAGAATAAATATTTTCTGATTTTTTATATTGGCATTTGCTAAACTGAAAGATTTTAAAAATATAGGTCAATAGTATTGTTTAATGCATACTTAACATTTATTCCTTTCATGGTTACATTAATTTATCTTTATTATTTCATTGATTTTATTAAA